CAACAAATAGAAAAACATCCCATGTTCAAGAATTAGATGACTTAATATTATTAGACATCAATACCACCCAAAGTGACCAACAGCTTCAATGCAATCCCTATCAAAATTCCAATAATATTTTTGTATAAAATAGAAAAATCCACCATAAAATTCACATGGAATCTCAAAGGACCCCAAAGAGCCAAAATAATCTTGAAAAAGAAGAACAAAGTTGGCAGTCTCCTATTTCCTAATTTCAAAATTTACTGCAAGGCTACAATAATCAAAAAAGTATGCTACTGGCAATAGAGACAGACATAAAGACCAATAGAAGGGAACAGAGAACCCAGAAATAAATCCTCACTATATGGTCAAATGATTTTTGACAAGGATGCCAAGACAACTCAATGGGGGAAAGAACAATCTTCTCAACAAATGGTAATGGGAAAACTAGATAATACACATGCAAAAGAATGAAGTTGGACCTTTAACTTTCAAGTTTGAAAATTTCTATTATTAATAAAAAACAATCTTGAACAAGAGGTAAAACGTCTATTATAACAAACTAGCGGATTGGTGATGAAAGCCTAGAGTAAATTTGTGGCAGTAAGGCTTCATAATTAATGACTATATGTAATATATGAAAAAGGAAGAATGTAGAAGGACTCTTAAATTTATGGCTGATTAAATAGATTCCATTCAATGGATCAGAGAATGGAGATCAATTCATAAATCTGAGGCATGTGTAGAATATTTTGGAAAAAGTAGAGATATATATAAGTATGACATTAAAGAAAGTCTGGCCTGGATACACAGATTTGGAAACAGTCATGAAAATTGTGTCCTCCTGGGACGCCTGGGTGGCTCAGTCGGTTAACCGTCTGCCTTCGGCCCAGGTCATGATCCCAGGGTCCTGGGATCGAGTCCTGCATCGGGCTCCTTGCTCAGTGGGGAGCCTGCTTCTTCCTCTGCCTGCCGCTCCCCCTGCTTGTGTTCTCTCATTCTCTCTCTCTGACAAATAAATAAATAAATAAATCTTTAAAAAAAAAAAAGAAAAGAAAAAATTGTGCCCTCCTATCCACCCAAATTCATATTTTGAAGTTCTAATCCCCAGCACCTCAGAACGTTCATATATTTGGAACTGGGTCCTTAAAGATGTGATTAAGTTAAAATGAGGTCATTAGGATGGGCCCTACTCCATTATGACTGGTGACTTCTTACAAAGAGATTAGTAAATGGATGGGTGACTATGTGAAGACCCAGGGGGAAGATGGCAAGGTATAAGACAAGAGAGGCTTCTGAAGAAACCAACCTTGTGAACACCTTGATCTTGAACTTCTAGCCTCCAGAATTATGAAAAAATTAATTTCTGTTATTTAAGCAACCCCAGTCCATGGTACTTTATAGCAGCCCTAGCAAACTGATATAGAAGTTATTAATGCAGATATAATATATAAAAACAAAAGGAGAAAATATAATGCTAGAATAGCATATAGAGTAGGAAGCAAAAATTGCTGAGCACAGTCCTCTAGGGAACAGCAAATTTTAACAGCATAGTATGAGCAGCCTTTGAGATGCTAAATATAATCCTGAGGAGGCAACAGGATATATAGTTTAATGCAAATTAAAGTAACCACTGTGTATATATATATATATATATATACACACACCTACGAGAAATACTAAAATTTAAAAAAACTACCATGTGGTAGTGAAGATGTGGAAAAGTGGTGGGGATGAATATAGTAAGTATTTAAGATCAAGAATGCAGATGAAATTGTCTAGACAGAGAATGAATAGAAGAATCCCAACACTTGGGATTAGAGAGCAATAAATCTACAAAGGAGACTAAAATGGGAACTGGGGGAAACTAAAGGAAAGGAGGCAACTGGGCAGAAGAAAAGAGAAGGGAAATGTTACAGGTGCCTGGGTGGCTCAGTTGTTAAGCGTCTGCCTTCAGCTCAGGTCATGATCCCAGGGTCCTGGGATCGAGTCCCACTTCGGGCTCCCTGCTTGGCCAGAAGCCTGCTTCTCCTTCTCCCACTCCCCCTCTTGTGTTCCTGCTCTTGCTATCTCTCTCTTTGTCAAATAAATAAATAAAATATTTAAAAAAAAAAAAGAAGGGAAATGTTAAAAGAATTACAGCCCATATAAAATACCAAATACACACATATATGTGGCACAGAAAAAGTAAGCTTTCATAATAGAAAAGTATCTCCTAGCTGGGTATTTTAAGTACAGATTTTTAAGCCATTTTCTATTTCTTGACAAAAGGCAAATATAGAGCTGGACCCCGCTGGACAAGTCAAGAGGCAACATACAATCTATGTAGTCCCTATGTAAATAAGTATCTAAAATAACTTTTCTCCTCTACTAGGTAAGTTTCTTTTCTTCCTTATTTTTTTAAAGATTGTATTTATTTGAAAGAGAGAGAGCACAATCGGGGGGGGTAAGAGGCAGAGGGAAGGGGAAAAGCAGACTCTCCTGCTGAGCCAGAGAGCTGATGCAGGGCTCAATCCCAGGACCCTAGGATCATGACCTGAGCCAAAGGAAGACCCTCAACTGACTGAGCCACCCAGGCGCCCTCCATGAAGTAAGTTTCATTCATTAAGACACAATTTACAGTTTCTACTGAGCGGGTAAGACAGTGTCTGCAAGGATCAAATGATGGATATAATAAGGTCTCCATAATTTAAGATTATTATAATGTCACATAAACATATTCATCTATAATAATAAAATAAGCACAAAATAATATATATAAATGAAAGAAAAATTTAGGCAATTTCAACAAGGCTAAATGGATCTTGTAATTCTTATAATCATGAAATTAATTTGCCACTAATTTGTTTACAAAAATATAAATCTAAAAATAAGAACCTTACTTCCAGGACTTTCTTTCTGCCATTGATTGAGTTCAGCAGTCAAACATTTCGCTTGCATAATTAATAATGACAGCTATAAAAAAAAAAAGCAAGAGTATAAAACAAAGTCATTTTTTATAGAATATTCATAGATATTCATAGATGAAAGTGTAGACATTCTTAATATACTTTAACACAAGTTCTTAACATAAATAGCTAACATAATAGGCATCCAAAGTATAAAAAATTATCACTCCAAACAGAATTCTACTTTAAACCATTATTAATTATAGCTCATAAACTGCCTATTATACCAGTGATATAGTCTTAAAAAATGATCAATTCTACTTTACCACTCAACCTAAAATAAAAGAACCTAAGTATACTTCTTTTATTCCCTAAATTAATATTACTTTAAAAATATAGGGGTATCTGGCTAGTTCAGTCAGTGGAGCATGTGACTCTTGATCTTGGGAATGTGAGTTCAAACCCCACATTAGGTATAAAGATTACTCAAAAGTAAAATCTTTAAAAACATAAGATGTTATTTCTTGCCAACAGTTTTTAGACAAATTTGCTTTAGGGGAGCCTGGGTGGCTCTGTCAGTAGAGCATGAAACTCTTGATCTTGGGATCATGAGTTTGAACCCTACAGTGGGAGTAGAGTTTACTTTAAAAAGACAAATTTAGGGGCGCCTGGGTGGCTCAGTCGTTAAGCATCTGCCTTTGACTCAGGTCATGATCCCAGGGTCCTGGGTTCGAGCCCCACATCGGGCTCCCTGCTCAGCGGGAAGCCTGCTTCTCCCTCTCCCATTCCCCCTGCTTGTGTTCCCTCTCTCGTTGTGTCTCTCTCTGTCAAATAAATAAATAAAATCTTTTTTAAAAAAAGACAAATTTACTTTTAAGATACTCTTTTTTCTCTATGCACTTTCAGAAAAATAGCAACTGCTTTTAGGGGGTTGCTAAAAATAAATTTAAATACAAACACAGAGGGTCACCTGGCTGGCTCAGGCAGTAGAGCATGCACTCTTGATCTCGGGTTGTGAGTTCAAGCTCCACATTAAGCAGAGATTACTTAATTAAAAAAAATTTTAAATACATATATAGAGATAATTATAAAATGAGATTGCTTCCACAGGCTACTTAAAAAAAACCAATACACAACAGTCTAAGATGACATGTTTCTGATATTAAGTGGCTCCAATCATTGTAATTTTGGTAATTACATATCTGTGATAAATCTGATGCCTGATTAGATTATTAAATTGAAGTCTATGTATGCTTAAAGTTAAATTTCAGAACATTTTTTATCACCTCTATATAATTGTTATTGGAAGCTAGATTAAAAAATGCAATGGGTATTACTGAAATATTTACAATAAAAGAACAACAAGTACTTTCTTTTTAACCATTTTTTTAAAAGATTTTTATTTATTTATTTATTTATTTTTATTTATTTGAGAGAGCGCATGCGCGCACAAGCTGGAGAAGTAGAGGGAGAGAGACAAGCAGACTCCCAGCTGAGCGCGGAGCCCGACGTGGGGCTCAATCCCACCATCCTGAGATCATGACCTGAGCCGAAATCAAGAGTCAGATGCTTAATCAACTGAGCCACCCAGGTGCCCCTTAACCAATTTTTATGATACAGAGCAGGTGGTTCAAAGACCCTGCTCTGTATCTAAACACTATTGAATAGTCAAGAGGAAGAAAACCTAGTATATTTGAAAGCTTTATATAATTACATAAAAATTCATTTGCAGGTTTTAAAATTTTTACCAAAGGAGAGTTTAACATTATTTTCTTATAACTAAATATGAGTGTGAAAGGTTTGCTGTGAACTATAAAGCAATTTTATAAATGCTAATTATACCTAAGAAGAAATAACAAATTCTTAGAAAGTAGTATCTAAAGTAGGCAAAACTATCATAATGATAAGAAATTGGTATCACTTTTCCTGCACATATTAGGTTGAAATGCATCAAATAACCAATATTCATTTTTCAACTTTAAAAAAAGAAAGCAATTTCATACAGTTCAACTTTGTACTATGTTGATGAAGTACAGCTCTTACCTTCCCAAAGCCCAGCTAAGGCAAACACTCAAATTATTTCTGTCCTTGCCATAAAATTAAACAATACTTTCTAAAAAACAACAGCAATATTTCTAAAGTGATTTATATGAAATTTGAGAATCCCTTCCATTTTCTAATTTAAAATATCTAACTTTTCTTTAAAAATGGATTGTTTTAATACTGAAATTTTAAAGTTAATAGGTATGCAAAAAAGAGTAACCAAAGCAAGCCTGATATTATTTAAAGGACTGCTTTCAAGGTTGGCCCTTCACTGGCATCTGGGAACTTGTATTTTGAGATGGTTCCCACCAAAACCTATTAAGAGTGGCTGATTGTGCTTTAACTGTTTTTGCAAAGAATATGACTTAAGCTTAACACCTGCTTTCCTTCTGAAAGTCTGGTATTTTGATAACTGCTACCCAGAGGGTGCCTACGTGACTAGCCCCCACAAAACACCTTGGTCATTGAATCTCTAATGAGGTTCCCTGGTAGAAAACATTTCACACTGTCACAACTCCTTCAGGGAATTAAGCACATCTTACGTGATTCTGATAAGAGAAAACTCCTGAAAGCTTGTGTCTGGTATCCTGTGGACTTTACCCCATGGTCCTTTTCCCTTTGCTGATTTTAGTTTGCATCCTTTTAATGTATCTTAGCCATGAATATAACTACACACTGAGCCTTGTGAGTCCTCCTGTGAGTTGCTGTGAGTCTTGTGAATTACTCCTGGGAGTAATCTTGGGGACTCTCAACACAATAGGAAAAGATATTTTGTGGAGCCCTTAGACAATGTTCTTATTGACTATCTCAGGATAGATTCTTTACAACTATATAAGCACTTCCACCAAAGCCAGTTGTTTGTTTGGCTCAATCCATGAAAATCACTCAGGAAATGTAGAGGCCCAGTCCCTAGTGATTCTTTTTTTTTTTGGGGGGGGGGGAGGATTTAATAAATGTACTCCTTCAATTACTATTTATAGCACCTAGTATTCTTTTTTTAAATTATGCAGTTATTTTATCTTATTTTTTTTTACTTTGAGATTTTTTTTTTTTAAAGATTTT